GTCCCACCGCCGCCGCCTCAGAAGCCGCCATGGCTCCCGCACAGCAGCCGGGCCCACCTCGCAGGCCCCGCCTCCCGCCACTGCCACTTCCGGCAGGGGGCGGGGCCGCCCGGCTCATTAGCGTCCGTCCAGGCCGGGCTGGGCGCGGCGCCCCCTGCCGGTATTGAAGTGCATACCTGGGGAGCCGCTGCCAGGCGAGGCGGGCGGGTTGCTGTACTTCACTGGTATTCCTACGAACAGGTAGAAGGTATCGGTTCCACTCATCCATTCTCTGCCTTCCTAGAAACTTGACCTTAGGCAGTTATTGGAGAAGAAAAAGTAATGCGTTCAGAAACTTTACTTCCCAAAGATTGGAAATAACCCAAATGTTCAACAGGACAGGCAACATTATGTTAGTTAACGGTTGTATTTTATTTAGGGTTTACATGTGCCAGACACCCGGGAATGCACTTTTCATCTAGTGTCTCATTTTGCCCTCAAAACAGCCATAGCAGGCATGTACTATAAATTTTCCCGAGAACTAACTAGTCCTAGGTCACACTATGCAAACGAAGGGATGAGAGTTCATTTTAGGGAGGCTGGATTTACTCACCTGTATTTTAACAGATGAGATTCAATTACTATTTGGGAGACAGTGTAGCTCAGGGCAGGGTTCTAAAACCTAAGTACCTAGAGAGACTAGGTAGGTCATGTAAATGAGAACAGTAGGTCAGGTGTAGACATAAGGGAGGGGTGAGGGCTTTAGTGAAATGAGAAATACATCCTTTGTTTAAAGGAGAGCAGCTGCTACCCATCTTTGATATCACTAGGTTTGTTTTTCAAGATTTTTATGTGAAAACATCCAACTTTTATATATTAGCATCTGATTTAGTTTTCTATTGCCATAATGACAAATTACCCCAAACTAGTGGCTTAAAACAGATTTGTTATTGTCAAAGGAACTCAAAAAGAACCTGGAGGCTTTGGCTAGAATGATAGCCCTGGCCTGTGTGGCTCAGTGGTTGCAGTGTTGGTCCAAGGATCAATTCCCTGTAAGGGAACCTGGGTTGCAGGTTCATCCCGTGCCCTGGTCCTGGTGCATGCGGGTGACAACCGACTGATGTCTCTCTCTCACATCGATGTTACTCTCTTTCTTACCCTTCCCTTCCTCTCTCCCTTCCCTCTAAAAATAAAAAAGAAAGAAAAGAAAGAAATGATAGATTGATTCAAGGGTCTTGGCGTTTGCAAACTGGGTACATAGGAAGGCAAAAAAGTGTTCCAAAGAAGAAAGAAAAGTTAAAAGTTCTTAGAGTAAAAAGCAGATTCTTGAGAATTATCAGTCCTGCATTCTTAGCCCTAGGATTGGTCCAGGATGGTTATCAGTCAGATGTCAGGCAGTCAGGATGATGGATGCCAGGAGGTTTGGTCACAACCTGTGGTCTGGATAATGGATGTCAAGGTGGATATATATGTGAGTCCTTCAGGGGGTAATCAGGTAGTCTGGGTACCTGAATTCTTCAGTGGATAATCAGAGGGTTATCTGGAAGTCCATTTTGTAAATCCAGGAATTGATGCAGGACTGGAGAGTTCAAAAAAATTTAAGTTCCCAGGCTAGTGACAACAAAAATGGAATCTTTCATGCCTCAACCTTCATGTTAATAATTTTAGCAGCTTGATGAAAATGACTCCAATTTATATATTCCCTATCTTCACTCCTTCCTCATTATCTTATAGTTTTGGAGATCAGAAGTCTAAAATGAGTCTACTAGGCTAGGATAAGGTGTCGGTAGGGCTGCATTTCTTCTGGAGGCTCTACGGGAGAATGTTTACTTGCCTTTTCCAGCTTCTCAAAGTCAGTGATGGTGAGTTGAGTTGTTATCTCACTCTGACTTCTTCAGTAGTCAGATGTCCTTTTGCTCTCTACTCTCTCACTTTTGAGTACCCTAATGATCACATTGGGTCCATTGAGGAACTCTACCCATCTGTAACGTCCCTTTACTTGTAAGGTAACATATTTACAGATTCCAGGGATTAGGATGTGGGCATCTTTCAGCAGGGAGGTATTATTTTGCCCACCATAGGAACTAATTGATTGAAAAAGTACTGTGGGCCAGAAAACCCGCACATCCATGTGTGGGATAGGATCCACGGGATACTGTGTCTAAGATAGCAGGCTTTAAGGTCCGACTGCCTGTGGTTAATGTGGGCTCCCTCAGTCACTTACTAGCCTAAGCTTTGTTATTCACATAAGTAGAATAAGACTAGTAATGCTGCCTGCCTTATAGGATTGTTATGAAAATAAGATAACGCATATAAAATAATTAGCACAGTATTTTATTTATTGAACACTTAATATTTATTGAGTGCTTACATATATTGAGCCATATATTTAAGTGCTCAATAAATGTTAGCTATTATTCATTTTTGGAAACCTACCTGGTGTAAAATTAGGTAAATTCTTAATTAGAAAAAAATTAAAAAATCCCACTGCATTATTCTGAAGCAATTCCCCTTACCTAATTTTACATTAGGTAGTAAATTCCTCTGGCTATAGAAGTCCTTGGATGTATATTTACTGCTCTATCTGTTTCCAAGATTGCATTTGAATACACTATGTGTTTCTGTAAGAGTTCCGTGTTTTCTCATTTCCTTAAGCAGGTGCCTCTGTCTGGGAGGGCCTCAGGGTGGGACCACAAGTGATCCCACTGTAGGCTGGGTAATATGATTAGCACCTTCTCATTCAGGTTCCAGTTGCACACCCTTGCTAATCACCAGGGAGGGCTGTGAGCTGTGAGAAGCCGACCCAGGAACATGCAGCACCTTTGTGCAAACCTAACGCAGGCATTTAGGCACCAAGCCAAAGTGCCTGCCCTGGGCGCACAGATGCTTTAAACAACCACTATGATCTATAAGGAAATTAGCATTATTAAGCCCCTGAAGACTCAGTGCCTCACTCTGAGATAATCAAAGTATCTTTGTCATTGCTAAATCTAAAAACATATTTTTCACGTAAGATACCTACAATCTGTAGAAAATGCCATTGTATTATAAAGCATACTTTAACCCTTTTTCTGACTGTATCTGTACATTAAGCCTCTTTTTGATTTTCATCAAAAGTAACTTATGTACCAGTTTTTAAATATCTTTATTCACAAAATCAGTATAAAATTGGTCAGTTTGAATGTCATATATATGATAAAATAGATTTTGAAAAATATATTTACAATGAGACCATTATTTTATATAACTGAATCATCTGTGATATGCTACCTCTGCAATAATAACTTAATAGACCCAAGTCTACCCTATGAATGCACCAATTTTATGATTCTCTAGGAAGTTTTGAATTGGGTAGTTTCTTGGTGCTTCTTTATGTGATCCAAAGCTTAAGAGAAAATTCCTGAAAACCAGCAATTGGAACCAGACCTCTCTAGGACAGAGAGACAAGTGTGAGAAAAAGTGACATCCTGTCACTTCTTAAAGGCCCACAATTGCTATGCTTTGCAGGATATGGGGGAGAGGGAGCACCCAGTGGAAGAGGAAAGAATCATTCCCAACAATTATATTGAACATTTTTAATATTCAGGGTTCACAATATTAAGGGTTCATATTTAAAAAACAAGTTTTTGGACAGAAGCCATCCAGCTAGCCATGAAGTGAAATGTTTATGTAATATAGTCAGGGAGATGCGATGCTTACAAAACCATATACATCTTATTTGTCTTTAATTTTAAAATAATTCATTCTCTTTTGGGGTATGCAAGTGAGCAATGGAGAAAGTGGAGCATCTGCAATACCTGAAATTAAAAAAAGAAAAAGAAGAGAAAATGAAAATAATCACAGGGCAAAGATTTGAGTCAGTTTAAAAATGGGCAAGATTAGAGTGTGGATTATGGACCCCCATTAAGTGCAGAAGCAGAATATGCAATAGAGGGCACAATGGGATACCAGACTGGCTATGAGAAAGCTCAAAGGTAAAATTAGCGAAGAGGAAGCGGAAAGAATCACTCCCAACAATTATATTGAACATTTCTAAATTGTCAATATTAAGGGTTCATGTCTAAAACACAATTTTTTAGACAGAAGCTATCCAGCTAGCCATGAAGTGAATGTAGTATGTTGTTAATTCTTCTAGCTTGCAAAGTAAACTACTTACCTGCTGGTGCTAAGGATTTCAACGCATCCAGAAGATTCGGACTAGAGAACTTTACTAGGCACCGGAGGGGTTCTTTTCTTTCAGCCAAGATGCCTCTATTTAAGTCACTTTTGAATTTCGTTTCAAGCTGTCAACAAGTATATTTATAAATGACTATTAAATACTTTGGTTGGAATGGCAAAATATAACAGAATTGGATTACTCATTAATTATAATCATCAAGAAATATAGGGATTAATGAGTGGGGGAAGCATAAATTTGCTAACTGCAAATGTAGAGGGCAGCCAGCAGGTCAAAGGATAGCACACACGAAATGACAAGTGTGCACAGTGCTCGACAAACAGGAGACCTTGATGTCAGTTCCACCCACAGGTGCCCTTTTTTGAATTCTTAATGGAAAATTAGCACTATCTTTTGTAACCTATTTCAATATAAAAATGTCATGTCTTTTGAATCACTACCAGGGTTTCTTTTTTACTTCTGATTACAGAAGACTTAAAAAAACATATAAAAGTAAGGAGCACAGCATAACAAGTCCCATGTGCACATCGCCCAGCTGAAACTGATCAACTAATGGTCAGTATTTTTCCATTTACTACCCCATCTCCCATTCCCTACAACCCACCCCCACTGGATTATTCGGAAGCAAAGCCAGAGACACCATAGTATTCCATCTGTAAAGATTTCAGTATGTATCCGAACATCTAAAAAGGGCCCCTTTTCACTCCCATAACATTACCACACATAAAAAAATTAATAATATCACCAAATATCCAAGGATTACTACTTGGAAAGATGAAAAGGCAAATTCAAAATCTCCAACGTTCTTCTTTACTAATAGAGGAACTTACTACATATGATAGGGAAGTCTATTTTAACTCATCAATTATACAAAATTAAGGCGGCAAATGAATAAAAAACAGTTTCTTGAACCATTTTCACTTAAAGGTTTTGTTCTTTTAAAAAATATTGATACCTGTAGACAGTTTACAGCCAAGCCCTACCTTGTACTGTGCGAATTCCAGTCTTGGCTGGGGACAGTCTCCGAAGCATTCCTGAGTTGCTCTTTGGATTCTGTCTTTTTCTATTCTGTTTTCATGAATAATCCTCGAGTCCACTACAGGTGGGAGATTTCAAATACAGCAGCTGTTAGGAGTCTACTTCATCCTTCAAGTATCCCCCTTCAATCCTAACCTTTCGACTTGCTTGTGTAATTTAAAGATAATGTTTACTGTTTCTTCTCTTGATTGTAATAATTTACTGTGGGAAAATTGGAAAGTGTGTGCTGATAAAAAAGAAAATAAAAACCACCCATAATTCTACCACACAGAAATAAGTACTGTTAACATTTTAATATATTCCTGTCTAGCCCCTTTTTCAGTGAATAAAAAGAAGTGGATTTTTTAAACTGGGATTATAAAATACACACAATTTTCTATCTTGCTTTATTTAATATGAAATCAATGGCAGTTCCTATGCCATCGGAAAGTTATAAAAGTGTTTCAGAATGGCTATACCACTTCACTTCACTGCCAACTCATCCCTAAGAGATAGGAAAATTTTCATTTTTAAGAGTGTACTTCCAAATTTCAGTTTTTATTTTAAAACACACATACTATTTATATCTAGCCCAAGGCTTCTTTCTTGTAGAGGTGTAGTAGCGTTGTGAGTTTCAAAAGTCTATGGAAAAGAAGAAAAAAAGTGAATGTTTTCCTGATTTTAACACCTGAAAATGCAGCTATTAATTGGTTTTAGTACATAAAAGTATGTCTAATTTTATCTTTATTTTTTCCAACAAGAAGAGATTGAGGCCGTGTCCAGGTTGAGTTGAGCATTTCTTCTAGAGCAGGATATTGGCAGAGACTGCTGGGGCCAGCAACATGGCTGTTCTACCTGAGGAGCTCTGTACTTTGTTATTATAAATGGATCTGGAAAAAATATATAATGAGTGCAAAAGCTAGAGAAATCAAGGGAGAATTTGCAGTGTCATGTTTCAGCTTTATGCTATATCTTTATAACCTTAAAAAACACACTGAGATTCCTTTTGGAAAAATATCTTTCCCTATTGGAAGTCTGAATTTCTCAAATCCCTTCTCTGACTTTCCCCCACTAAAGCCACTGTTTTTATAGTATTTGACAATGTGTATTTTCCTAGGAATGCAACAGTCAGTGCAAAACAGTTAATATCAATTTGATGGGAGGGTGATGGGTAAGAGGGGAGGGGCCTGCTATGGGAGAAAAATCATTATATAACTTCTTAAAGTTAGATTTTTGTCCCTTAGAGTAGCCCACAGAGCTATCACTTCTTTCTTTTTAGAACAGATGAAATACGTAAGTATAGGGTGGGCAAAAGTAGGTTTTCAAGTGAGTACACAAAACACGGAGTTTATTCTTGTATTATTATTGTATTATTTTCCATACAGATAAAGATGGTACTTGTTTTCCAAGTAAACCTACTTTTGCCCCACCCTGTATAATATATCTAAGAGCTCAAAGCTATACACAGAGCACTGACAATCATCCTATAGAAGTCTGACCATATGAGCACACAGATGCCATGCAGAGGAGCAAATAACCCCGAGTCCGTGAGTAAGGCCAGCTCTGTTCTTATCATTAAAAGGAAATGATGCATTTAAAAATTTTTATAAATAAATAAATTGTGGGACTTAATAAGCCAATGCTTTTCTTTTACTTTGAACCCCTGTATCACCTGCTTGACTGATGGGACAAAAAATTAATTCTACTTGTCATTTGCATAATAGGAGAGAAGTAGAATTAATTTTTTGTAATTATCTTGAAAAGGGGATGCTAAGTTATTCTAAAGAGAAAATAAATTCTAATGGGAATAGCTGACCTGGAAACTGGGATCTATAACATAGACTCCAATGACTAATGAGCAGTAAAAAACACAATACGATTATCAAAAGATGATAGTGAGGCATTATTTTGTTTCCTTTCATGTTAACTAACTGAAAGCTTTCTCGACTTCAATAATACCTGAAGTGATCTTCTTTTGTTGGAGGTGGATTTTCCCACTTGCTCAGTGGCTTCTAACTCAGGGGTAAAGAGAAAATGGACACTTAATTTTAAATAGTCACTAACTGGCTCACCTGATTATACTGTTTAAAAACAATAGCCTTAAGAGAGTCCAGATATCGGCTTCTGAAGTCCATTTTCACAATCCGATGGTGTTTGCTAGCAATTGTCAGTGCCTGGAAGTGAAAATTAGCAAGAATATTAGGATTACTGTGTCTATTCCTACATTTATAATATTTGTTAAAGTAAAATTAGCAGTTGCAGTAAGTGAATAGTTTCCACTTAAGAGTAAAAAGAAATCCAGGAAAATGTAATCTCATGTCCTGTTACTCAGCTTAAAAAACAGAAAAAGGTTAATGGCATTAAAATTCTCATAAATACAAAGTCTTCTGTACCATTTTTAGGAATGCGATCCTATTTAAAGTTAGGAGTTTTAATAAATTAAGTTCAGATTTAGGAATAAACAATGAATACTCACATGTTACCATTTTAGAATACCAGTCATCTAATAATACTATAATGATACTGCCACACAAAAATGCAAATATGTATGCTTTAGGACAAACATTGAAGAAAAAAGTACATATTAAGTGCAGTTTATAAAAGCTTCCCATTATCTGGGGAAACAAATTAGGAGGCTAAAACAGAATTAATATTTACCTGGCACTAGAGAGTAGAGGTAAGTTTGCCTTAAGATACACAATGACAATAAACACTAGCTTTTGGGGTAAAGTTTAAACTAGCTGTGGCAGGGTGGACTCATCTGGCTATAAGTGGTTGAGCGACCACTATCTGTTATGGGGAAGAGATCCCAAATGTAAAGAAGCAGAGTTAAGTGCTAAAGGGAAGTAGAAGTGAGCAGCAGTAGAAATCCTTCTGCCATTTCAGTAAACAGCCAAGGAATTTAAATGACAAGCAAGTCCACCCACCAGTATCCTCTAGCTCTTAGATCCACACTCTGGAGTGCACGTTCCACTTAGCATTAGAGATGACGTAGCCAGGATGGTGGAGCTGCTCACCTACAACCAGCTCAAGTGGCAGCTCTGGAACCAACTGAGGTGCCACTGTAGTTGTGAATATTAACAGAGAGTAGAAGCAGCAGCCGCCGCCAGGTCTAGGTAGGGATGGCTTATTCTGGGGAAAGCTGCTAGGAAGCCAGAGCTGTAACAAGCAGCAAGCTCTGAATAGAGAGGCTCCTTCTTATGTTAAAGCAGTCATGTGTACAGAATGTGGGGAAAATATTACAAATGAAAATAACGTTCATTAATAGGCAAATTATGCAGTCACCAAAAAGTAGTGAGGTATATGATATGGAACTACATGGAAATGTTAAAAACACACACACCAATGATACATGCTATGCTACTATGGTTTTTATAATAAAACATCTTCTGAAAGCAAATAACAAAATTGTTAACAGTAGTTATCTTGGGTAACTGGGACTGGGAAAAAGAGTATCAAGTTTAAAAGGACTGTTGATTTAGAGACTTGTGTGTTGGTGGAATTTTTACATTAAACATGCATTACTTCTAGATTAAAAGACAATAATGAAAAGCTCCAAACCAATGCTTATGCTGCTTTCCCATTTGCAGAAGAGCCACACTTCCCTATTTTAGGAAATCAAGAATTACATGTGGCATTTTACATACAATGCTTAAACCCACATGGGCCTCTGAGAGAGGATAATAAAATATTATAGCTCTAGTAATTGGTTCCGTACCTGACCCAGAAGGGGAATACTGCTCCTCAGCCGGGAGGAAGAAACGAAGGCATATGGAGTCTGGGAATGATACACCACGTAAGTAGGTTTGTACTGGTTTGGCTTTTTATATTGTGTCCCCCAGGCAATTCGAATCCATACTGCATTCTCTTCTGCATCTCTGAAGGTGACCGAGACCTTATTAAAAAAAATATTTAAGTTTCCTTATTAAAATCTTGTGGCACCAACAACATGTGCTTTCTAAGGGTGACGGATTTCACTGTAATCTTCCAGTCTTTTCTTCTACGTTTCATTAGTGTTTTGGGAATCTTTGAGAAAATATTTTGTGGTTGTTTTGTAGACATATATATGCTTTGCAGTCTTTTGGAAGAAGAAAATTTAAAAAACCTACAATCAGGGTGATATAAAAATTTGTCAGTAATTTCCTGGGCCTGTCCTGAAAAACTGTTCCTCTCTATCTGTAAGAGTTTATGAAGTAAGGCAGCCTTACAAATGATCTATTTGTTATAAAATGGAGCCTTTTTAGCATGGAGCATAGACCCAGCATGCACTGTAAACTTAATAGTAACATTTTTACGTGTAATACGCTTAAAAATATACTAATCTTAATGCTTTTATGCATTTAGTTGAGATGCTAAAAATTAAAGAAAAGTTATGTGGTGAGAATATAGAAAATTCTACTTGGTTTCCATTTCATGGATAAAATGTAGACGTTTCTAAATGTTTAAATATGATTACCAGTTGGTCTGGAATTCAGTAGCCTACTTTGGATTAGCTCCCTCTTAGAGCTCAGATCCTGCAAAGGAGGCATTTGAGACAGGTGTACTTGGCTGGCCCATGTCCCTTTATTTCCTCCCTCCTGTATCTTACTTCAGTAAAGCAGGTTGTAAAGTGGCTGCTGGCATTAAGAAGGCAGTCACTTTGACTCTGTCCACTCTTTATTTGCCTGCTTTTCCAAATTTCCTTGGTGCATCAGACAAGGAACCCTTCCCAGTCCCAGGCAGAGAGGTTGCACAGCTGTCTGGCCTTCACTGAGTGCGCAGCAGAGCAATTAGCCCCAACAGGGGGACCACTACTGCCTTGAATGGAAGATAGGGTCTTATTCTGAATAGCCTCTTTGTGTCACATTACCAAAGCAAAAACACCTGTAAAATCAAGACTGAATAAAGTATATAGACGGCACACTTTAACTAGAGGGGGAAAACTGGTAGCACTCAACATATTCAGGTAGTCTCTCTAGCCCAGAATGAGAGCCTTGTCTTTATTTTAAAAACATTTTTATTTTTGTTAAACCTCACCTGAGGATATTTTTTCCATTGCTTTTCAGAGAGTGGAAGGGAGGGAGGGAGGGAAAGAAGGACAGAGAGAGAGAGGTGGGGGGAGAGAGAGAAACACTGATGTGAGAAACACTGACTTGTTGCCTTCCCCAGCCACCCAGACTGGGGGGGGAGGGGCGGGGGCGGGGAGCGAACCCACAACCCAGGTATGTGCCCTTGACCAGAAATCGAACCCACAACCTTCTGTGCACTGGCCGATGCTCTAACCATTGAGCCATACCGGCCAGAACTAGAATGAGAACCTTTTAAGTGAGGGCTGATGGAGGGGCTCAAAGAGGCCTGTGACCTCCCTGAATTGGATGCACGGTCATGTGTATATGTCTAAGTGTATGCTTTCCTGGAGAGGCACTGTATCGCTTATCAAAATTTTCAGGAGGGTCTACGATCCAAAAAAGGTTAACAAAAATCAATGGGCTAAGAGAAAAGGATGTCCACAGAGTCAGTATAATGCTGACCCGGCTGGCTTTCAGGTGTTCCGTCTCCCATTCTTACAGTAAGATACTCAGATACCTGAAGAGGTGGGGCCCAAATGCAGGCTCTATTATTTTCCAAAGAAACTATTGCAATAGATATCGCCCGGCAATAGTGGGATAAAGCACTTTTTACAAATGATAGCTCAGATTAATAATGCTCAAGCTTAACCAGGTAACTAATCCCACCAAGGTTCCTCAGTGGTTTGGCTAACCTGGGACCATACCCCTAAACTGTCAGTTACTGGCTACCACCCACAAGCTACTGAACATAGTAAAAAAAGTTTAGTGTTGAGACTCAAATAAAGCTTAGAACACACAGAATTACCACATATTTAATACAGAGTATCCATATTACACATGCATATACAGGCATAAAAACGAGTAAATGTGCTTTTTACAATTGAAACATTTTTTGTTTGTCTCTTCTTTGTAAGTTTTCCAAGAACTTTGTACTTTGAATAGTTTTACCTCTCTCTCTCTCTCTCTCTCTCAGGCTCTGGACTGGATCCCTGAACCACAGGCTCCATCCATCGCCTCCCTGTGCCTTCTCACACCACCTTCTATACCCAATTAATTCAAGAGCAGAAGTTCTTAACCTAAAGTACATAGTTAGAATTCAGGGCATCTATGAACTTGGTGGGAGAAAAAAATGACATTTTTATTTGCACGAATTTCAACTGAAATTTATCATCTCCTTCAACTGTGAAGGTAGACAACAAAACAGAATTTTAGGATCGGTTACTTTGTTGTTCACAGAAATTCCAAATATTTTTTATCACATTACAATTGTTGCAGATACCTCAAAAATAGTATTTACACCCATTACTACCTTGAAACTAGTTGTTTGTAGACCCACCATGAGATTATTTATGTTAAAAAAGAAGCACATGCATTACTATATCACAATTTAGAATTTTAATACATTAATAACTGTATGTTAATTTAATGTAATTGGTTTCCCTTGTAATTCTACGTATTTTATTTTATAGCATTTAAAAACACTCTTCCCAGAAATGGCCCATAAGCTTCACTAATGGCGAAAGGGGTCCTTGGCACAAAAAGGGTTAAGATGCCTGTCCTAGAGCAGCAGGTGAGTCACTCTTCAATCCTAAGTACCAGGAGATGCTACTTGGCATGACATCACCATCATCAGCCTTTGGGAAAGTGGGGGTTATCCAGTCGCTGGTTAAGTTAGGAGGAGGAAATTAAAGACAAGCTGGGAATCCTCAGTCAATTGACAAAAGGGATTACCCTTTCGAAAGGTCTTTTTGGGGAGGTCTTTGAAGGGATAAATAACACCCCTCTTCTCTATCCTTCTGGAACAACTAAGAAATAAGGCAAAAGAGTTGGCAGGTGGAGGCAAACATATAACTTGTATTACAAAGAAACTACTGATATGCTCATATCTGCAGGCAAGTGGCCCTCTGGACAATAAAACCCAGAGTGAGCCAGAGTTGCCCATGTGGCGATTGGCAGAATCACTCTGGGTGACCTCCCTCACAGGGGCAGAGCCAGTCCTGGAGCAAGAGACCAGAATAGGTGTCCCCTGCAAGCAGCTGCTCTCACTCAGGTTAAGTCAGTGCTCTGCTGGAAAAAGGTGAAGGGGTGGTGGTGAAGGGACTTCTTCTGAGACCTGAGGGACACGTCAGGAGCAAGAAATATTTCCCCCAAAGAGTTTTATGCTTAAGGATGAGCATGGAGAATGGATGTACTTTTCTGAGATTTAGGCATGTTTATAAGCAGTAGAGCAGGCATCAGTAGATGAAGAGGTTGAGAATGTGAAAGAATAGAGAAAAACCAAGCATGCAGGCCCTATGAGGATGTAGGAGGTGGATTCAAAGTACACACAGAAAGGTCATTATAAGAAAGGAGAAAATATGTTCAGTGACAACTGGATATGTAGAAAGAATGACAAGTTACAAAAGATGAGGTAAAGAGATGGAAAGACAGATTAAGGAATTTGTGTATGAAAAAAAAGGGACACTGCCTGGCCAGTGTGGCTCAAAAGTTGAGCATCGACCTATGATCCAGGAGATGGTTCGATGGATCAGGCCAGGAGGTTCGATTCCCGGTCAGGGCACATGCCCGGGTTGTGGGCTTGATCCACAGTGGGGGCGTGCAGGAGGCAGCCGATCAATGACTCTCTCATCATTGATGTTTCTATCTCTCTCTCCTTCTCCTTTCCTCTCTCTGAAATCAATAAAGACGTATATATGTGTGTGTATACACATACATATATTTTTTTTAAAGATAGTAAGGTGTTGCTTGTGGAAATGGAATGGCAGTAAAATTCTGTGGATGCTCTCAAGCTACACTGACCCATACAAGAGCCAATAGGCACCCATGGCTATTTAACTAAAATAAGATCAATATTTTAGTTCTTCAGTCACACTAGCCACATTTCAAGTGCTCAGCAGCCAATGTGGCTATTAGCTAATATACTGGACAGTGCCAATAAAGGACATTTCCATCATCACAGAGTTTTATTGGATGGGGTTGCTCTTGAGAAAGAAGCATTTGCCCTTGAAGTGAGAAGTGAGGGAAAAGGAAAGTTTTCATAATAAAAAGTTTGTCTTTGTTATGGACTAGAATAGTACGGAATATTACTAATTGAAATTCTTAAAAATAAAAAAAAGTACTAGCAAATTTTAAGTGCACAGATTCCATGAAATTGAATGTCATGGACATTCAGAAAGATTTTATTCTTACATTTTTTAATGCTCTCTGAAGAATTTTCTTAAATGAACTTTTGAATTGTTTCATATCAAAAAGGTCAATGTCTTCACCTGTAAAAGTGAAAAGAAAAATAAAGAAAAATTAAGGGAGCTACAATGTCTTTAATAAGTACACTTGCAAAGACCCTGAGGTGAGCATTTTGCATAACCTCAAAAAGCAATAATGACCTAATCACACAAATGCTGCTGGTACTGACACAGCATCACCAAGTATATATTTCATTTTCCGGTATATGAGTAATAATCACCTCATTTTGAAAGGAAACAGATTTCAGAGGAACATACTGCTATTCATTTTTAAACTGCCAAAATATCAAATATAAATGTTCACTTTTAAAAGGGAAAATGTTACCTGGTTCTTTAGTCATCTGAAAAACATCCCAAACTTTCTGGTGTCGATGAAATTGAGTATCTGAGAGAGGGAGGAAGAACTTCTTACTATTACATCATAGAACTTTTAAGTAATGTGCTTATGAATACATATTTTTAACAACATGAAGGTGGAGAAAATAATAGTAACTTACAAGTTCGGTTATACATTTTTATTCAAATATAAATTTTACATGTATTAAATATACTCCAGACAAATAAAACACGTCATAAAGAATTACTCAGTCTAGCAGAGCTTTAGCATTTACTCTTAAGTCAGATCATTTATTCTGTTTCCACACAGAATGCCACATTTGTTGAGTATAACAGGAATAACATGCTCCCCGTAACTGGCGTGTGCACTGGCTGGCTGTTCCTTTGTCTGGACCATTCTTCTCCTAGCTTGTTGCACAACTCATTCCCACACCTCATCTAGTCTCTACTAAAATGCCACCTATGAAGTGGACTACCCTGACCACCCTACCTAAACTGATTCCCCATCCTGCCCTGCTTTAGTTTCCTTCATAGCAGTTACCACTATCTGACATCACATCATATATTTAGATGGTCATCTGTATACTGCTTGTGTAGAATCCTGTGGAATATAGGACTTTGTCTTGTTCACTGTTGTATTCCCAGTGTCTAGACACTGGCTGGCATGAAATCAGCACTATGTATATATTTGAATGAACAAATGTACGATATAGAAGATACCCTTCAGAAGTTACAAACTTAACAGTGTCTCAGAGTACCCTTTGGGACAGTATGGATGGATCTGGAAAATGTTATGCTAAGCAAAATAAGCCAGCAGAGAAAGACAAATATCACATGATCTCACTTTTATGTGGAATCTAA